ACAACACTCTAAAATCATTCATTATAAAATTAATTCAAATCAAGCCACTGGCAACCATTGGGCCAGAGCTCCGCGAAGATTGCCGAAGGAGGGAGTCAGGCTGTGCCCTGGCCAAAGGCCTGGTGGAACAGCTCTGTCTTGCAGGCCCTGCAGAAAGATGTCAAGTCCCTGAAACTAATCAAAATAATATCTCAACAACAAAAAATGGGTGGGAAGGAGTCCAATGACTGAATAAGGCACAGGTGGGTGTTCATAGGACCCTTCCAGATGGGTGTTTTATTGCTGGTGTATTCTGCACCATGTTCTTGACACAATAATGATGCATTAAAGGTGAAGGGACCCCTGACCATTAGGTCCAGTCTGGACCGACTCTGGGGTTGTGGTGCTCATCTCGCTTTACTGGCCAAGGGAGCCGGCGTACAACTTCCGGGTCATGTGGCCAGCATGACTAAGCCGCTTCTGGCAAACCAGAGCAGCACACGGAAACGCCATTTACCTTCCCGCCAGAGCGGTACCTATTTATCTACTTTCACTTTGACGTGCTTTCGAACTGCTAGGTTGGCAGGAGCAGGGACCGAGCAATGGGAGCTCACCCCATCGTGGGGATTCGAACCGCCAACCTTCTGATCTGCAAGTCCTAGGCTCTGTGGTTTAACCCACAGCGCCACCCGCGTCCCATAATGATGCATTAGAGGTAAATATATTCTGCTTTCGTTTGTTGTGTGATGCTTCTTCAGTGCTACTACGTTATTGTTGTCCAGACAAGCTATGGTGCAAGAAAAGCAAGCCTAAGAACATTTGTGATATAAAACATTCTGAGATTCCAGCAAGACATTAGGTGATACGTACTGATTGTAACTGAAGCACTGTGACCCAATGCTCTGAACAGGTTTCGTTCCTCTGATTTTGCCCTATCCCATGCCGTCTCATGGAGCTGTTTTTGTTTTTGTTTCATCCTATCCCTCCATTAATATGGAAACGGGGGCTCCATGAGGGGAAACCAACCAACCAACCAACCAACCAAACCTCTGTTTGAGTTATGTTTCTCCTTCTTTCTGCCCCTGCAGGTTTTCTACTCATTCCCAAATTTGCCTGGCAGGGTTCTCTCTCTTGCATCTATTAGCCTGCATTTTGCGGGGACATTCATAGAGTTGGAAGGAGCCATTGGGGTCATGTAGTCCAGCATCTGCAAAGCAGGAGTATGTAGTCGTCCCATATGGGGATCACAAGAAGAAAATCAGTGGGTGGCAGAGTGGTGGCCAGACCCACACTGAGGACCAGTGAGAACTGAGTTCACCTCCCTCCTCCTCTGATTTTGTCCCTACTCCACTCCCCCCCCCCCCACTGTGTAAGAACTCAGGCAATTTTTGAGTTAATCTAAAGAATGCTCTAAGAAATCCACCCATCTCTAATTGAAAGTCAGAACCATTGAGCTGGATGGATAAACAGTCTGATGCAGTATGAGGCATCTGCTTCTTTTTCCATGAGAAGTAGGTTAGGTAATGTTGCGAAAAGAATAACCCCCACCCCTCACCACCTATCAAACTTGTTAGATAGTTTTATATAGAATACCCTCACAGTGCATTCTCCCTATTGCTGATGACTGGAAGGAGACCATCTTAAGGTTAAACTGCTTAGGTTCAGAAATGAAAACATTTACAGACATAAGCAAGACTCCAACCATAGATGTGACTTCATGATGGATGGTGTTTGAATTGTTGGAAATTCGTGTCATCCCTCAATGCCAACACTACGTTCTCCCAGATACCACATGGCACCTTGTCCCTTTATTTTGGGGTTAATAGGACAGTGAAGGCAAGGAAAGTGGGTTGTTGTAGGTCTATTTAGGTGAGCTAGATAGAGAGTGATCATAAGTACTTCATTTCACTAAAAGGCAATAGTTGAATGTCACTTTACAGAACAAGGTCAACAATAGTGTCTGTGTGTGCACATAAGAATGATAAAGTAGAGCAGGCAACCTGAGGCAAATCTGCCACAGCACTAGGCAGCTCAGCAAATGAAAGGATGTCACTATCTCATCATTCCTCAGACTTCAAAGGAATTCAAAACAGACAGAAGGGGGGGGGGAAACGTGTTAAGTCTTTGAAAGCACCCTCCACCTTTATTAAAATGTCATTTCCAGGGCAGGGCAAATCTATTCAGGCAAACTACTTACCCTACTGTAAAACTCAGAACAGTTTTAAGAAGTCCCTGAACACCAAAAATGTTTCCTTTTGTTAAGCCCGAGCTGTATGACTGTGTATGCACTACACATTTAAAGCACGTTCAAAACACATTTTGTCCCACGGAGAATTCTGGGCAATGGGTTGCTGGAAATTGTAACTCTGTGAGTTGTAAACTACAGTGCTCATAATTCCTTGAGGGCAAAAATGTACTTCATGTGTGTATAGGGTGCATTCACATTACCACCTTAAGAATGCAATGAAGTTCTTTTTTCCATTGCATTTCACAGCTCTTTCCCCCCTCTCTGTTCACGCAAGCACTGCTTCAATACTTCCCCTCTTTGTGTACACATAAGAGGGCGTTGACAGAGCATCTACAAAAAGATGTTCACATCTTGGCTAGAGGTGCATTATGAACAGGTTAAGGACTCCAGTCGATGGGAAGCTGGTTTAAGAAACAACCCATAAAACAGTAGTATCTCATAACTAAGTACAGGGTGCATATGCATTTTGGATAATGGTGTGTGGACATGGATTAAAAAACCAGCAGTGGAAATGCAACAAGAGAAGGGTGAACACAGCCATAGAGCATGTTCCACAAAGCTGGCCAGTTAACCTCTATATCCAGATTATTTATGATTCATTGCCTCCCTCCCTCTCTCCCCCGATGCATCACATAGCCCCCCCCCCCATTTCTGCACCCCAACTAATCTCTCTGCACTACCCTTTTCAGATTCCCAATGCATTATTTCGGTCATTTTGCTCACTTCCTTTTTAGTCACATTCCTGGGTGCATCTAGCTGCCTGCCGTTGAGAAGTGGATGTTTGGTCTCAATCAGTCTCCTCAACAGGCGCCCTTTAAATGTTTTCAACTCTCATCCACTCCAGACAGCGTGGGCAATGGTTAGAGCTGCAGTCTGAGAAAACTGGAGCACATTAGGTTGGAGAAGGTTGGCCTAGAATTTAGACCTCTGATTTTACCTAGCAGGACTCTTTATGTTCTTACTCTTTCCACAGTTGCATAAACAGCTACTGCTAATCCCATAGGAATCTTAGGAGACAGGCTAGGGAAGGATCAAAGAAGGAGCTAACCAAGAGGAACTCATTGCATCTGATTACCTGCCCAGCTGTCACCTTGAAGTGTCATCCACAGCAGCCAGGCTTTCTTCTGAAGGCATTACAGCTCTGAGATCTAGTAATTGGAGGATCTAGTTTTAAAAATTATAGTATACCTAGGATACTTAAAACAAAATGCTTATTTAAAAATACTCTTTGTTAACATAATAGATATACAGACATTTTAAGTTTTACAAGCTACTAAGAAAGTCATGTAGGGAGAAACCACACAATGAACATTTACAGTCTGTTTGAAAGTGGAGTTCCTGGTAAGATTAATCTTCCTCCTCCTCCTCCTCCTCCTCCTCCTCCTCCTCCTCCTCTAAACAATTATTCAGTTTTAATAATGCAACAGCTTAACAATGTAGAATATTTATATAGCCTCAGTCTGGAAAATACAAATGCAAAAAACAAATAAGAAACATTGCGGCCCCAGGTGCAGAACGTGCACAGCAAAATGTGGGGGCCAGCCAAGGGCAGAAATAAGGCACATGACACCAGTATTGGGTTGAAATGAGTACATTTGCAGCTTTATTTTAGTGGCAGTTGTCTAGTAAAACAACAACTTGGAGATTCAAGTGAACCCAGAACAGGGATGATTATTAATTGATTGTTTCATTTATTAGGTAATGCAGTGCATGGTGTGTTTGTATGAATGGGAAGGGGAAAGAGGAGGAAATGGAAACCCATTCCCCCCCCCCCATTGTAGGATACAGCTACATGCTGTTGGGGTTGGTTATTATCTGGAAGGTTTGCATATATTGTAAAATAAAGCCAAACCATTGTGAAGCTATCCTTTTGTTTCTGTTCCCTCAACAATCATAATTTATTAGTTAGTCGTTGTCCCCCCCCCAGTAGGACGGTGTCCCATACACTTTTGTACCAATTGCCTAAGTTCACTCCAAGACATCACTCCAGTGTCTAGCTATAATATTCCTAGCTGCTGATAACAGATGACCAATAAGTTCTTTATCACGCGGTTTTGTGTTATTACCTCAAAATATATTTAATAAAGCTATTTCTGGTGTCACTTCTATTTGCTGCCTTGTAATTTTACTAATCTCATGTAAAACTGACAGCCAGAACAGCTGAATTTGGGCACATTCCCACAACATAAGGGAATATCTGTGAATATCTGTACCTAAAGATCAACAGCCTCGCCTACATATCGGTGAAGCTCCTTGGTATATCAGTGCTAGTTTTATTGCCACTATAGATGGGTTTTTAGTGTGAGCCCCCTTTTGCTGGCAGATATCAAATTAAACAGTGATTTAGACCACATTTTGGACCATTGGGCTGAAGTTATTTCTTGACCTAAATCTAGTTTCCCCCATTGTTATTTAATTGTGCTGGGGGACCCTACAGTGTGTTGGTGTAATATTTTATAGATTGCAGACACCTATTCTCTACTTCTACCTATTCTCCTGTGGCTGGGAGAAGTTTCTCAAAAGGCACTAGTTGTTGTGCGGCTGTTGTTTCTACGATTGGCTTGCATAGAAAAGCTTGCATTTGGTAGAAGAGTAGCCCTGACATTTGAATGTCTTCCATTTTAGTTTGCATTCTTGTCCCATTAGTGGGGTATTGCCCTCTTAAAAGTCCATTAAGCAGCATAGACCCCTGGCTTTCCATCTTGTCACAGAAAAATTGCCGAGAAGAGCTTTCTCCTTCCATGCGTTAAACATAGTTTGCATGAATCTAATGGTGCTTCGGCAGCACATATACTAAAGTTGGAATGATACAAAGAAGATTAGTATGGTTTTCCCATTATAAATTATTTTCTTTTTTTGCAGTAGCCAGAATATCTATCTCCCTCGTGGTTAATTTCTCTGCGTCCTACTTTGGACTGCTTTAATTGTGTGTTTTTGTGAGGGGTTTTGGACATCACCGGTCACAGAATATCTGAGAGGTGCATTTGTGAGCCACATTTTGTGAAATATACTCGGAGTCCTGCAGTGATTTCATGCTCTTTATTGCAGCTTGTAAAACAGTGACTAAATTTCCCCCCAAACCTCAGGCTTTTATATACATTATTTACACACTGAGTCCCATCCGATTGGCTGATTCTGCTTCCCTTCTGGAGCCTGATTGGTCTTCTCCTGCAAGCCAATCAGTTGTTGCATTCTAGGATCCTACCTGCCTATTCTTCTAGGATCCAAGCTTAGTAGATAATATTTTGTTATGGAATAAGCAGGTGCAAAAAATAAAAATAAAAATGCTTCCTTGTTTCACAAAGTGTGCGATGCTATTATCCTGATGGAGGTGGGGGTGGTTCTATTGATAGAGAAGAAGGTTGTCCAAATAAATGAAAAAGAAGATTCTTAATGTTATTCAGTAAAGGCCACTGAATACAATTCAGCTGAAATACTTTTACAATCCTCTTCATTCAAGTAGGAGAGCTTTAAGCAAGTGCTTCAGTCTCTCGATTGAAAGAAAGGGTGGCTCACTGAAATGTGCCTTACTTTGCATGGACCATGGCCACAATCTGATGGGATCGCTCAGTCAGTAGAGCATGAGATTCAGGGTCGTAGGTTTGAGCCTCCCATTGGGCAGAAGATTCCTGCATCGCAGGGGGTTGGACTAGATGACCCTTGTGGCCCCTTCCAACTCTCCAGTCATATGATTCTATGAACAATTTGGAAAGATCTGACTTTAGTTAGACCCCAAACTAAAGTCAGATCCCAAATCCAAACCTTTGGTCCTTCCCTTTACTTTAATTAGGAAGCCATTAAAAACATAACACAGTCATACCTCATGTTGTGTCTGCTTCAGGTTACGTGTTTTTGTGTTGCGTCCTGCGGCAACCCAGAAGTACCAGAACAGGTTACTTCCAAGTTTCGGCGCATGCGCAGAAGTGCTAAATCACACCTTGCGCAAGCGCAGATGCGGCACTTTGGCTTGTGTCAGTTCTGTGTTACGGACGGGTCTCCAGAACGGATTCCATCCATAACACGAAGTTCCACTGAACTTTAGTTTTTCACATAGGTGCCTGAATTTTGGCGACATGGTGGCCTCTCAAGAGGGAATTAACCGTGGAAATTGTCAGCAGGTAGATCAAATGGGTTTTTTTGATCTTTAAAATCCCCCAAATAAAATAAAGCAAATTCAAAGGTAAAAAGGACATCACTTTCTTGTTTTTAATGTAAGTGTATACAACTTGGAGGCATGGTAGCTCCTTGAGAGGGGATTAAATAGATGGTATCTTGCGTTTTTGTGACATTTTAGCTATATGGCTCTCTTACAGATCGTTCTGAGGCCCAAATCAATTTGGGTCATTCCAGTTCAGTACCAGCTGCCTCAATCTGATTCAGAATCAGTCCAGTTTGGAATTCAGCCAAATCGGCTGTTCAACTATACTGTAAAATATAATGTATATCCACATTCTAAACAGATCGTGAAGGTGCTATGGAATGGTAACAGATGCTGTGGCAATCTGTCAACTCCAGGGTTTTTATGCAGGATTTTTTTTGCCATTATTTGATTAGACCAAGCCTACCTTATGTCCAATGTACTTTCTGCTGGGGGGAATTTGTGGCTGAATGTGCAAACACTTGTACAAGGTGCACACAGGAGAAAACCAGAGAGCTAAGCATTCAATTGAGTCAGGATATCTATCAACACGACGCAAGCTCTCAGTGGGATGTGCATTTCTTAGAGCTAAAGGAGCCATTTTCCCATCCTCTTCAGGGGCAGAGAAGCAGGATGTCAGTTTTGTTATTTTTCAGGCGGGGAACTATCTCGAGCTCTTCTGTGTTTTCCTTTTCAGTTTTAAAAAGTGCACTGTCTCGATATTTGGGGTGGGGGGTGAGGAGAGAATACGAGGTGGAGAGAGAGCCATCCTCAGGCCAACTGGCTGTTAGCTGCCATCATCCCAGTGCCTTATGGGAGGATAACAATGGTGTCCTCTTATTTTAAAGAGCTGCTTTCTCTCTTACTGAATGATGATAAGTGTGCTTTTAAATCTGTAAAACAGAAAAACAGTAAAAGGTAAGAGATGAGCATTCCACATCATTTGAGGTCAGTTGACACCTCTACCCCTAGAAGATCCCTCCTATTTTATCTTGACTGGGTAAGCTACCCCAAAAATGCAAAAATTCAGGTCCATTCATTTCAAGCCAATCCTGTTTATCCTTTCATTAATGATGATGTGCATCACTTTGCACAAGTAGTCCAGTTTGTCACTTGGAGAACACAAGAGTGCCTTTGTTACATGGTGCCTAATTGAAATGTTTTGGGCCTAAAAAGTTATATGGATGTGTGCTTATATGCTTTCTTTCCTTGGGCTCCTGGAGTTGGATTGGGTGACATCTTGGCAAATCCTAACATGCAACCTAAACAAGCAAAGCAGCCTGTTGCTGGCATTTTTTAGGGAAGTCTATGCATGAGAGCTTGTACATCCAGGTGTATCTCTTCTCCCTTTCACAAATTGTGGGTGTGCTTAAGGCAAGGGCAACAAAAAGGAATGGAAACTGGGACACCATCTGAGGTTGCTTCGAGGTGACCAGTTTATTGAGCATTTGTTCTCATTTATTTGTGGGGAAGTTATATGATGCTTTGCCAAGCGATTATTACTCTCTCACACTTTCTAGTGTATTAATTTTCCCATCACCTTCTTTTACCACAAAAAGTCCATTAGGTATGAGCGGCTTGTTGTGCAAGACTGCAAATTCCATTTTAATTGTGCAGCCTTAATTTGTCAGAATGTATTTGAGTTCCACTCACAAAATAGTGGCAGTCTGGAAGTGTCCAGAAACATGGGAAAACCTCTAAATAATTCACAATGCACATGACTTTTCCAAGAAGTGCAGGAATTGTAAATAAGAGAAGTAAGGATAGTGGAAATATTCCACAGATTTTGTGCCCAAAGATACGAGGAGGCAAATAACACTTCATAGAAATAGACGTATTTCTTCAGAAATATAAAGGCACATCACTTTGAGTAGGAAACTCTGATGTCAGTATGGCCCTACATTTACACAAGTACCTTCTTTTAAACTTGGTTAGTAGAAATTCTTCAATTTCAAGTGAATAAAATAAGACTATAAGAACAGTACAGTGCTACACAGTAATCTGGAAATCTAAAATTAAATATTTAATTAGAACTTTGAATTTGCTTTCAAGATAGGTGGCATTGCACAGGCTATAATACAGTCTTTTATACTTCTTTTGCCAAAAAAATTACTGTATATTTTAAACAGGCCACTTTAATATTAATACAAGTGTAATAGGTTCAGAACTGAAAATTCAGCTAAAGATGGTGCATTTTACAGTATTGGGAAAAAATTACAGGATTTTTTTCTTCTCCTTTTGTATTGTAAAAACATTTTTTTAACAATTTACCTACATTAATCAAAAAGTACAGCATATTTAATAATTTTACAAATTTTTCATAAAAAATATATCTCTGTACAAAAAAGTTCTTTTGCACCTACTTCATGTCACAGCAGCATGTCGTGAAATGGCAAAATGGAGTACTGGGAATGAAAATTAGATTGATTTGATCGTAATGCCAGCTTCCTCCCCCCTCCCCCCTTCTTTAATAACAGCTTTTTTTGTTTTGTTTACAAAATATATTACAGAAGAAAAAAATTATTGCAGCTAGCCTGGAGAAAGGCAAGATGGGTGATACAAGCAGCAGATTTAAACAGCTTTGAAGCACATAACCTGTTTTTGATTGTTCTTTCTTTGAGTATGTTTACCTTTGCTTTATCATAATCATTCTGGTCCTTTCTGGGGAAAGAGTCAACAGTAAACACATCACAGAGATTTCATACTGCCTTTGGCATGACCGTACTATGACAGACCTCAATTTTACTATTCAAGTCACTCTGCAATTCGGGCTCTACTCAAGTGAATGGACTTTGGGGGTGGCACTTTGAAGATCTGGGCTGTTGGGGTGGTGCACCTGATGCGTGTCTGGACAAGCATGGAGCCTGAAAAGGAGTGTTAGAAATGGAAGATTTAACCTGGTCAGTGTGCAATCCAACGCAACTGTAACAAAACCAAAGGGAACAGAAAACCTTCAAGAGATAGGCACAGAGGTGACAAAGGGGGAAACACACACACACACACACACACACACACACACAGAGCCATGGACCTATTTTATTAGGTAGGGCTGTATCTCTAGATATGCTGTGTGGGTACAAACCAATGTTCTGTTCTGTAGTTTCACTGAAATGAGTGACACTGCAGATGAGAAGTTCAGTAACAACTGAAGATTGGAGCATATCAGAGAGAAATGGTTGTTTTGCCTCCGTTAAGTAAAAAAAAAAGTCGATGGTTTATTATTCTAATGTGAACAGCCTTATTTCTTGTTTAAATATACTTCCCTAGAATAAATCAAGTTAGGATTTTCAGATTCTAAAGAATGAAAAGTTGAAAACAGTGCTCTTATGAATTCCTCTGGCTCCTTTGTCTGAAACGCTCCCCCAGTTCTTTGCAGTGAATGGAGCCAACCCATGCACAGACTTGCTTTCTCATGTGCAGCCCAGTCCATTGAAATGAACCAGCTCCCCACCCTGCAATATACAAGAGATCCATGCGTGCAGATAAGTGCACTTGGATCTCCCAATCCAGGATATAGGGTGGTAACACTATTTTACAAAACTTTCCTTCTTCTTACTCTTCATCCAGACAGGGTAAGAATTGGGGTTGGGGGAGAACCCAAACCCATTCTCCCTTCATATTTTGTACTCTCCCCCCCCCCCCACCCAAATGACTTTGGTTACATCTGCCATCACCAATAAAGTGACTTCAGAGGCAGCAATTCAGTGTTTCCCTTTCTCC